AGTCTCATGGACTTTCCTGTTCAGGCTGGCTTTGAACCGTGATCCTCAGATCTCAGCCTCCTTAGTAGCTAGAATGACAGGTATGAGCCTTTAGTGTCTAGCTCACATACTTTTTTTGTGTGGATGTAGGTTGATACTAAGGCTTAAACTCAGGGCTAGAGCTCTTTCCCTTCGCATTTTTTATTTTGGCTCGAGTACTCTACCACTTGAATCACACTTCCACTTCCAGCTTTTTGGTGGTTAATTGGAAATAAGAGTCTCAAGGACTTTCCTACCCAGGGTGCCTTTGAACCTTCATCTACAGATTTCAGTCTCCTGACTAGTTAGGATTATAAGTGTGAGCCATTGGCACTAGCTACTTTTGGATACTCTTTAGGGATAAAAATATTTGGTGTGTATCATAATATACCTACCCTACATATTTTTAAATCATCCTTTAAGACTTCACCATGTCTCTGGAATTAGCACATTTCCTCCTCTTGAAAGACTGACAACAGGTTAAACAACCCACAAAATGCCCCTAATTGTAGGACCATGCAGTCCAAGTTGCCTGCCCCTTCCGGCTTGGCCACCATTCCTTTGTGCCGGGTTTGCATCTGTACAGAGCTTTATAACACATTCACTTTGTTGACTTTTCCACTTAAGTTCTTTATTGTGCCGAGTCCCTTTTGTCCTGGTGGAAAAGACTTGTAAAGAAAAGTGGACACACCGTACTTGCTAAGTATTGCTCTGTGTTGAAAACCACAGTTCCTTTTTAACACACTCTGTGTGTGTGTGTGTGTGTGTGTGTGTGTGTGTGTGTGTGTGTGTGTGTGCCAATACTTGGACTTTGAACTCAGGATTTTCAACTCTTGCTTGGATTTTTTTTTTTTTTTGGTGGGGGGAGGAGGTACACTCTATCATTTGAGCTATACCTCCACATTTAGCTTTTCAACAGTTAACTGGATAGAAAAGTCTCATGGACTTTTCTGCCAGGGGTGGCCTCAAATCTTGAGCCTCAAATGTCAGCCTCCTTAATAGCTGGGATTACAAGTGTGAGCCACCAGCATTTGGCTGACTTTTTGTGTATGTGTCGGTCGTGGTACCTGAACTCTGGGCCTGGGGGTGCTGTCCCTGAGCTCTTCAGCTATAGGTGAGCACTCTACCACTTGAGCCACAGCGCCACTTCTGGTTTGCTGGTGGTTAATTGGAGTCTCATGGAGGGGCCAGGAAGGTGGCTCAGTGGTAGAGTGCTTGCCTTGCATACCTGAGGCCCTGGGTTTGATTCCTCAGCACCACATAAGCAAAAAGAAAAAAGCCGGAAGTGGCGCTGTGGCTCAAGTGGTAGAGTGCTAGCCTTGAGCTGAAATGCTGAGGGACAGCCAGACCCCCCTCCCCAAAAAAAAAAAAAAAGTCTCATGGGCTTTCCTGGCTGGAATGGCTTTGAACTGAGATCCTCAGATCTCAGCCTCCTGAATAGCTAGCATTACAGGCTTGAGCCACCAGCGCTTGGCTTGACTGACTCTTTTTGAGTTTAGTAAAATGTGTAGTATAAATAGGACACTGGTGGCCCATGTCTGTAATCCCAGCTACTCAGAAGGCTAAGATATAAGGATCAAGATTTGAAGCCTGCCCCAGTTTATCTCCAATTAACTAGCCAAAAGCTGGAAGTGGAGGTGAGGTTCATGTGATAGAGCATCAGTGTTGCGCGAACAAGCCAAGAGAGAGAACAAGGCCTTGAGTTCAAGCCCCAGTAGAAGGAGAGTGTGGGGGTGTAAGGTAAAAACCTCCCCCCTGGATGACAGGAAAGCAATCTATTTAGGGCTGAAGACTCAGGTCTTATTTTGATGTTCATGCCACGCATGCTGATCACCCCAAAACTCTTTTTTTTTTAATGCCAGTCCTGGAGCTTGAACTCAGAACCTTAGTGCTGTCTCTGAGCTTTTTTTGCTCAAAACTAGTGCTCTACCACTTCCAGCTTTTTGGCTGGTTAATTCGAGAGAAGAGTCTTATGGAATTTCCTGTGAGGGCTGGCTTCAAAGTGCAATCCTCAGATTTTAGCCTCCTGAGTAGCTAGGATGACCAGCATGAGCCACCAGCACGCTGTCCAGAGCTCCTTTACTACTAAATTCCCCAAATGTCCCTCTGAGGCCCTTGAGGTAAAAGTCTAGTATAATATCTTGTGTCTTTTTGAGTCCTTTCAAAAGACAGTCAAATTTAGCTTTCACTGATTAGAGATTGAGCAGTACAAAATTGAGTTCCTTAGATTAAATGTGGCCCTTATCTCTGTTCTTTTTGTTGTTGTAGTTGGTTGTGGGGCTGGAACTCTGGGCCTGGGCGCTGTCCCCCAGCTCTTCAGCTCAAGGCAGGTACTCTACCACTTGAGCCACAGCACCACTTCCAGTTTTCTGGTGGTTCATTGGAGATAAGAGTCTCACGGATGTTCCTGCCCAGGCTGGCTTTGAATTGTATTATTGAACTTCTAAGATGGAACTTATTCTTCATTCTGTATTGCTTTCAATAGTTTCTGCTCAAATAAAATAAAATTTCAATTTGACCCTGGAAATTTGTGTAATTTTTGTCTACTCCATTTTTTTCTTTTGGAACAGGATTTTTTTGCTACAAGTCCAGGATCTAAAGACTAAGAAGTGGGGAAAAGAAAAAGAAAAAAAGAACGGAAAACGCCTTTTTCTTCCATAAGTGGAACACTCTCAAACAAAAGGGGTCAAATGACAATCTACACAATTTTCTATGCTTTTGATGATCAGTCATGAGGTGGTGAACTAGCAGATCTGTAACTAAGTGAAGAATAAAAGCTATGTGTTCTGTGCATGCTGTTCTACTTATAAAAGTATTGCTTCCTACCTTGCTATCCTTCAGCATAACCATCTTTGGCTTTTCTAACCCACATGGATGGGGGTTTAACATTTACTGAATACTTATGTTTATTATTCCAAAGGCGTTGCAATATTTAATCCAAACGTGTGTGTGCATGGGTATGTGTGTGTGTATATGTGTGTGCATATGTATTTACATATCAGTTCTTGTAAGCTTTTTTTTTTTTTTGTCGGTTGTGGGGCTTGAACTCTGGGCCTGGGTGCAAGTGCTCTACCACTTGGGCTACAGCACCATTTCCAGTTTTCTAGTGGTTTATTGGAGATAAGAGTCTGACGGTCTTTCCTGCCTGGGCTGGCTTTGAACTGTGGATCCTCAGATCTCAGCCTCCTGAGTAGCTAGGATTACAGGCTTGAGCCACCGGTGCCCAGCTTCTTTATTTTTTATTTTTTTATATTTTTTTGTTTTTGGGTCCGGTCGTGGGGCCTGAACTCTGGGCCTGGGCGCTGTCCCTCAGCTCTTCAGCTCAAGGCTAGAGCTCTACCACTTGAGCCACAGCACCATTTCTGGCTTTTTTCTTTTTTCTTATGTGGTGCTGAGGAATGGAACCCAGGGCCTCAGGCATGCAAGGCAAGCACTCTACCACTGAGCCACCATCCCAGCTCGGTGCCCAGCTTCTTGTAAGCTTTTATTGCAAGCTTTTCTTTACTCAAGGCTAGCACTCTACCACTTGAGCCACACCTCCAGTAGCTTTTTGCTACTTGGAAGTAAGTCTTTTGGATTTGTCTGCCTGGGCTGACTTCGAATCTTGATCCTCAGATCTAAGCCTTCTAAATAGCTTAGATTACAGACTTGAGTAACCATTGTCCAGCTTCATTTTCCAATTTATTTATTTTTGCTAGTCTTGGGGCTTGAACTCAGGACCTGGGCACTACCCCTTAGCTTCTTTTGCTCAAGGCTAACACTTTACCACTTGAGGCACAGCACCATTTCTGGCTTTTTCCAGGTAGTCCTGGAAACTGGAGCCCCCAGTTTATTGGAGTTTCCAAGTAATTTATTGGAGTAGTTTATTGAAAGTCTCATGGACTTGCCTGCCCTGGCTGGCTTCCAACCACAATCTTCAGATCTCAGCCTCCTGAGTAGCTAGGATTACAGGTTGAGCCACGGGTGCCCGGCTAATCTTCCAACTTTTTTTTTTTTTTGGGGGGGTCCGGTAGTGGGGCCTGAACTCTGGGCCTGGGCGCTGTCCCTCAGCTCTTCAGCTCAAGGCTAGCACTCTACCACTTGCACAGTGCCACTTCCAGCTTTTTTCTTTTTGCTTATGTGGTGCTGAGGAATCGAACCCAGGGCCCCAGGCATGCAAGGCAAGCACTCTACCACTGAGCCACCTTCCAAGCCCTAATCTTCCAACTTTTTAAGGTCATCTTTTTACTATGCCCATTTTATATAAATGAGCCAACAGGCTCTCCTGGGGGAGGGTGGAGGGGGGGTCAGGAATTTTAGCCAAGTCATATGTTAACTGCGAAATAGAGCATCAGATACCAACTCGTGGCTGCAGTTCTTGGCTTAGTGATGATGAAATAAGATTCATCCAAGCTGGGAAAATGGATACTTTGGATTGGTTCCTTGAGCAAAGATTTTTCGAGATATAGTAGAGTTTTCACAAAATCCCCAGCCTCTTCCTCTGATGGGAAGCCAGTAGGGGCACACAAGAGTAGACAAGGAGTTCCTGGTGGGAACCAACGAGGCTGATGGGAAGAACAGGCAGAGATGAGGTGAGGGACTTGTTTGCGGAAGGTACCGCGCGGAAGAAGACAGACTAGGGAGCTGGATGTGAGGTACCCAAGGACCCGCCTGCATCCCTGTGCCCCTGAGCATCTGCGACCACTCCATCGCTAGGCCCCGCCCCTCGCCCCGCGAGGACGCCTCCCAGCCGAGACCCTCCAATCAGCAGCTCTGCCTTGAGTCCCGCCCCCTTCCCGACAGCGGCTATATAAACCGGCGCCCAGCGCGCCTCCGCAACGCAGTCGACGTCTGGGTGCCGTGTGGCGCGTCGTCCTCCGGCCCCGCGGCGTCCTCTGCCTCTCGGGTCCGCGGCGCCGCCCCTCTGTGACCACCGGCCGGGCCGAGCACCGCCGCCGACTCTGGGCCCCGCCTTGCCTCCCTGCCCCGCCACTCGTCCTCGGCGGCGGGCCGGCGCCATGCGGCTGGATCCGGGGCCCGCGGCGCTGGCTGTGGCGGCGATGCTGTTGCTGCGCGCCGCGGCGGCCGGCGCGGGCCAGGCCGAGGAGCTGCACTACCCGCAGGGCGAGCACCGCGCCGACTACGACCGCGAGGCGCTGCTGGGCGTCCAGGTGGGCGGCCGGGCCCGGGCCCGCGGCGGGCTTTGTCCCGGGACAAAGGGGGACGGCCGCGCCGGGCCTGGCTGGAGCGGCCTGACAAAGGGGGTCGGCCGCGCTCGCTCTCCGGGGCTCTCCCCTCCCCGCCCCTCCTCCCTGCCTTCCCCTCTCCCCTCCTTCCTCCCCCCCTCCCCTCCTCGCGGGGTGGGGGCGGGGAGGGAGACCCTGGGGCCTATAAAATTAGCCTGAGGAGCTAGCGAGGCCTCAGCGGGGTGTCTTGCCTGCCTTGCACTGGGACACTGGGGGGTGTGGGTGGGGTAGGGGACCAGGGGCCGGGTCACTGGGGGGTGTGGGTGGGGTAGGGACCAGGGGCCTTAAGAGAGCGAGTGTGGATCACCCCGACAAGTGTTCAGGCGTGTAAACAAGGGTGTCGCTAGCTAGGACCTCTGTGCACGCCCCACTGGTGGTAGTAAGGCGTAGCGCTCTTATATACCGTAACCCCCCCCCCCCCCAAAGGAAGACGTCGATGAATATGTCAAACTCGGTCCCGAAGAGCAGCAAAAAAGACTGCAGGCGATCATAAAGAAAATTGACTCGGACTCCGACGGCTTTCTCACTGAAGGTGAGGAGAGAGAGAGAGAGAGATCCCCTTGCCTGATAGGAACGAACATTTTTAAACAGGAATGCCTGTCAAATGTAGATTTTTTTTTTAAGGTGGACCAACAAGTTAGAGGTGGAGGTACCGTGACATAAAAGGGCAGTTTTATACCTGAAAGTAAGTGATCCAAGTAAAACTAGTTTTCTCCAGTAAAATATAATCACGGATCCAGTGGTTATATGTGGGAGTCATAGCTTGAGACACCCTCTTCCGAACTGAAAAAATTCATCTTAGAAATAAGGCACCCAGTCATTTACTGTTCCTTTGATAGGCACTTGATTAGAATTTTAAGAATTTGCACTTAAAAAAAATAAGTAAAAAAAAGACCCGTTGCATGTGAATACTGTTGATTGTAACATAACAGGAGTGGATATAGGTGGACACTGGTGGCTCATGCCTGTAATCCTAACTACTCAGGAGGATGAGATCTGAGGATTGAGGTTTGAAGCCAGCCTAGGCAAGAAAGTCGGTGAAATTCTTATCTCCAGTAAATACTCAGAAAAAGCCAGAAGTGGCACTGTGGCTCAAGTGGTAGCAGACTACCCTTGAGCAAAAGAAGCTCAGGGGCAGTGCCCAGGCCCTGAGTTCAAGCCCCCAGGACTGGCAACAACAACAACAACAAAAAAAGGTGTTAAAAGCGTTAGAACCATCTTGTCCAGCTCTCTGTAGATGAAACAAATCCATAGGGATAAGTCCTTCCTCCCACAAGTAAATGGCAAAGGCAGGACTAGAGTCCAGATAATCCTACTGTTAATTCAGGGTTTGTTTGTTGTTTTATTTTTATTTTATTTTATTTTTTGCCAGTCTGGGTCTGCAACTAATAACCTGAGTGCTGTCTACGAGCCTTTTTTGCTCAAGGTTATCATGCCAGAGCTCCATTTCCAGCTTTTTTATGGTTAACTGGAGATAAGAGTCTCATAGACTTTGCTGCCCAGACTGGCTTCAAACCACAATCTTCAGATCTCAGCCTCCTCCTGAGTAGGCAGGATTACAGGCATGAGCCACCAGCAGGTGCTAATTCAGTTGTAATGTCCTCAGTTAAAAAGTTCTCGTCAATAGGCTCATGAGTCAGAAGTGATAGAATGATAGATAGGAATTATTAAAAGAATGTTGTGCCAGGCACTGGTGGCTCACGCCTGTAATCCTAGCTACTCAGGAGGCTGAGATCTGAGGATCGCGGTTCAAAGCCAGCCTGGGCAGGAGAGACCGTGAGACTCCTATCTCCAATAAACCACCAGAAAACCGGAAGTGGCGCTGTAGCTCAAGTGATAGAGCACTCGCCTTGAGCTGAAGAGCTGAGGGACAGCACCCAGGCCTAGAGTTCAAGCCCCACGACCAACAACAAAAAAAAATGTTGTAAATTGCTGCTGCTTCTCCTCATTGTTTAGTTCAAGTGATAAACCCTACCAACTTTCTAAGTTGAGCTTCAAAAAAAAATTCAGGTTATTGTGACTTTTAAAGTTAGCTATCTTGCTGTAACTCTCATTTAAATGTTGCTTAGCATCCAAGGAATGAAATTGCTGGCGAGATAATTTTTTTTTGAGGGGGGGAGGGTCTGGTTGTGGGGCCTGGGCGCTGTCCCTCACCTCTTCAGCTCAAGATTAGCCCTCTACCACTTGAGCCACAGCTCAAGCTTTTTTTGCTTATGTGCTGCTCAGGAATCCAACCTAGGGCCTCATGCATGCAAGGCAAGCGCTCTACCACTGAGCCACCTTCCCAGCCCCCTGGTGAGAGAATTCTAAACTGATAAATTTAAGATGTGCTATCAGTGACTTGGAGATGTCTTTAGGAATATTACTGATTACTGATACTTAAACTAAAGAAACCTTTGGCCGGGCGCTGGTGGCTCACGCCTGTAATCCTAGCTACTCAGGAGGCTGAGATCTGAGGATCGCGGTTCAAAGCCAGCCCGGGCAGGAAAGACCGTGAGACTCCTATCTCCAATAAACCACCAGAAAACCGGAAGTGGCGCTGTAGCTCAAGTGGTAGAGCGCTCGCCTTGAGCTGAAGAGCTGAGGGACAGCGCCCAGGCCCAGAGTTCAAGCCCCACAACCGACAAAAAAAAAAAAAAAAAAAAAGAAACCTTTGAACTGTCATTCAGTATAAGAACTGGTCTACCTTCCACTAGAATGGACAGAATGAGTAGCTGAAAGTAGTACTTGTCAGGACCTAGATAAAGATTTCAGTCCAGAGTTTTAGGTCACATATCAGAAAACAAGTGTAAAAAGGTAAAGTACACCTCCTTACGGTAAAACTGAAGGGTAAAACTGTTTCTGATCTGTTCAATCTCTATTATTTATGCCACACTATATCTTTAAGACTTTGTGATGGTACTCAAGAAAACCCACAGTCTATGGGAGGATCAGTAACAATTCTAATTTGTACTTGGAGGGCCAGGACTAGATCCAGGTTCTTGAAAAGTGGAGGTTCATAACAGCACCCACTGGCACACACCTGTAGGCCCAACTGCTCTAGAGGCTGAGGCAAGAGGAAAGAAGTAGAGATTCTTTTTTTTTTTTTTAAGTAGTTGTACAAGGGAATTTTAATTCAGTAGTCAGTTTGTGAGTACAATGAATCTTGATTAATGTCACCCCTTCCATCAGTCTCTCCCATCTCTCCCAAGCCCACCTATCATCTCAGTTTTTCTTAGTGTATTCATAGAAGTAGAGATTCTTAAGAAAACCAAGGTTCACCTGGGCTCCTGTGGCTTATGGCTGTAATCCTAGCTACTTAAGAGGCTAAGATCTGAGGATCTCGGTTCAAAGTCAGTCAGGACAGGAAAGTTCATGAGACAGCTCTTCAATTAACTACCAGAAAATTGGAAGTGGCACTGTGGCTCAAGTGGTAGAGTGCTTGCCTTGAGCTGAAGAGCTTAGAGACAGTGCCCAGGCCAAGAGTTCAGGCCCCACAACTGACAAAAAAAGCCAAGGCTTTGAAGTCAAGTGTAGGTTTGAATCTGGACTCAGCTGCATTTTATCTGTTAGGCATTGGACCTTTCTTAATCTCAGTTCTCTGAACTGTGAAATAATGATGAGGATAATGGCCTTGTTTGGAAGACAAGACAGATTAGAATTCCAGATAGGTAGCAGTTGTTCAATGTGTGGTTGCATAATAATAATTCTGCCCTGGTTAGTTTCAGGAGAGAGAATTTGTCTTTTGTGTTTCTGTTTACTAGACCTTTCCCAAACCAGCAGAAATGTCCTAGCCAGTCTATTTTTTAATTTATTGTTTGTTATGGGGTTTGAACTCAGTGCCTAGGTGCTGTCCCTGAATTTGCCACAGCTCTACTTCTGGTTTTTAGGTGGTTCATTATAGATCAGAGTCTCATGGACTTTCCTGCCCAGGCTGGCTTCAAACTGCAGTCTCAGATCTCCTGAGAAGGTAGAATTACAGGTATAAGCTACCAACGTCCGGCTCCAGGCAGTCTTTAAACCACCAGCACCTTACCTTTAGCCCAAACACTATACGATCATGCTCTTTCTTGCAAATGAGTGTTATCTCCCCATCCCTTTTCTGTAATGCAGTGTAGTCAGAAGTTGATCTGAAAGATGTTTGAGATTTAAGAACTTTTTTTCCCTCATTATCTCAGGTACTGAGGTTAGGACAGCTGTTGCAAGAAGGGCAATAATTGCTTGCTGGGTGCCAGTGGCTCATGCTTGTAATTTTGGCTGTTCAGGAGGCTGAGATCTGAGGATTGCAGTTCAAAGCCAGCCTGAGCAGGAAAGCCCATGAGACTCTTGCCTCCCATTATCCACCAAAAAGCCAGAAATGGCTTAAGTGGCACAGCACAAAAGCTCAGGGACAGCACATAGGTCCTGAGTTCAAGTTCCAGGACTGCTACCAAAAAAAAGTAGTATAATAATTGGTACCCACAACCTTGTAAGATTGTCTCTTTTAAAGGGAATGCACTATAACAGTGTTTGTCAAACTTCAATCCCTTGAATATCATCCTAACTTAAACCAGGTCTACTTACCATCTATTATTTCCTTTAATATATATTGATCCAGCCAGGCACGGTAGCACCTCCCTATAATCCCACCACTGGGGAGATGGAGGAAGGAAGGATTCAAGTGTGAAATCGGTCTTAGCTATATAGCAAGACATTGTTTAAAAAAAAAAAAAGAAAGAAAAAAAGAACCATTAACAAACATAAGGGATACACAGGTTTTGAATATAGTATAATATATATATGGATTTTATATAATAATTCATATTTAGTCTGAAGGAACACATTGTACTCCTCTCATAAATGACAAGTGATTTTTCTAATGCATATTAGTTACTCAAATACTTGGGGCTACTAGGGAGCTCTGTGGTGTTTAGCACAGGTTATTTTGCAAGTTTCAGAGATAATACATTTAAAAAAAAATTAAAAGGTGCAGTTTTGGCCACTTGGTAATACATTCTGCCAACACTGAGCAGGCTCTTGCCATGTGTGTTGTGCTGTCATGACTCCAGGCTTAGACTTCACAGTCTCCTACCTGCTTCCCCCAGTTTTTACCCAGTACTGCCAACAGTGGGGTTACTTCTTCCTGAGAGGGTTTCGCAACCCTCACTACCCAGATGAGAATTCCTGTCAACATTCATTGTGTCCTGGGAAATTCCCATAGGTGAACTCAGCCAGTGGATTCAGATGTCTTTTAAGCATTATGCCATGCAGGAGGCCAAACAGCAGTTTGTGGAATACGATAAAAACAGTGATGGGACGGTGACATGGGACGAGTACAACATTCAGATGTACGACCGAGTGATCGACTTCGATGACAGCACAGCCCTGGACGACGCGGAGGAGGAGTCCTTTAGACAGGTGAGCACATGCGGGTCCTGTCTTAGGAACACAGGAGGCCCCTGTGTGGACTGGCCACCTTGTTCTCCACCCAGGCCCCCCTTGTTCCACTCCAATGCTCTCTTTGATGCTTTCTTTACCAGCCCAACTCAGTCCCCATTTCCACAGTGGCTTTTTAAATGTAGATTTTTTTTTTTTTTGGTCGGTCTGTGCCTGGGCACTGTCCCTTAGCTCAAGGCTAGCTCTCTACCACTTCTGGCTTTTTCTGTTTATGTAGTGCTGAGGAATTGAACTCAGGTCCTCATGCATGCTAGGCCAGCACTCTACCACTGAGCATCACCTTCCCAGCCCTAATGTTGTAGGTCTTTAATCTCATTATTTGATTTTTTTTTCCACCCTTTCATGGTGGTAGGATTGAACTCTGGGCCTGGGCGCTGTCCCTGAGCTCTTTAACTCAAGGTGAGCCGCTCTACCACTTTGAGCCACAGCACCACTTCTGGTTTTCTGGTGGTTCATTGGAGACAAGAGTCCCAGATTTTCCTGCCTGGGCTGGCTTTGAAGCGCAATTCTCAGATCTCAGCCTCCTGAATAGCTAGGACTACAGGTATGAGCCACCAGTGCCCGGCTTTTTTTTTTTTGGCCAGTCCTGGGGCTTGAACTCAGGGCCTGGGTACTGTCTCTAAGTTTTTGTGTTCAAGGCTAACATTCTATTACTTAGAGCTCTACTTCCTTATTAGATGATTTTGATCAACATTCAACTATCAGTTTTATATATTAGAAGTTTTATTATATTAGAAGGCTCTGTTGGCATATCCTTGGAAAAAAAGCAACACGAGTTTTATTTAAAATAACTCACTTGCAAAAAAAAAACAAAAACACCTAACACTAATGGTACTATAAACAGAAAATTTTAGCACTTTAACCATTTTTAAATTCAGCAGTGAGGCTGGGAATGTGGCTTTAGTAATAGAGTAATAGAGTGCTTGCTTAATGTGCATGAAGCCCTGGATTCAATTCCTCAGTACCATATATACAGAAAAAGCCGGAAGTGGTGCTGTGGCTCAAGTGGTAGTGTTAGCTTTAAGCAAAAGCAGTTCAGGGACAGTGCTCAGGCCCTGAGTTCAAGCCCCGGGACTGGCATCTTGTCCCTACCCCCAAAATTATAATTTAGTACTACTAAGTACATTCATCTAATTGTGCAGCCAGTCTTTCATGTACTTTAGTCTTGCAGAACTGAACTCTGTACCCAATTTGCCCATTAAACACTAACTCCTCTTCCCACGCTCCTCCCCCAGGCCTGGCAGTGTTCCACTTTGGGTCTGCATTTACTATCAGGTACCTTACCAATGAAGGGCGGTGCGTGTTTGTCTCTGTGACTGGCTTACTTCACTTCCTATGCTGTCCTCAAGGTTCTCCCATGGTGTGGCATGTGTCAGAATCTCTTACCTAAAAAAAGCCAAAGGATATTCTGTAGTGCGTATGTTGGTGTGTCGCATATTGTTTATGCATTCCTTACCAACACTGCTGTGGGAAATGGCTCAATGGACCTGCTGCACAGATCCCACTTTTACCTCCTGCTTTCATTTCTTTTGGGTACATGCCCAGAAATGAGACTGTTGATTTGAATTCTGCTTTTGTTTTATGTATTTTTGTTGCCAATTCTTGGGCTTGACTCAAAGCTTAGATGCTGTTTCTAAGCATTTTTGCTCAAGGTTAGCACACTACCACTTGAGCCACAGCTCCTCTTCTGGCTTTTTTTTGGTGGTTAATTGGAGATCAGAGTCTTAAAGACTTTGCTGCCCAGACTGATTTTAAACTGCTGTCTTCAGATCTTATCCTCCAGCTAGGATAAAGCATGAGCTGCCAGTGCCAGAGTGTTTTATTTTATATGTGTATTTATTTGTCGGTCATGGGGCTTGAACTCTATGCCTGGGCACTGTCCCTCAGCTCTTCAGCTCAAGGCTAGCGCTCTAGCACTTGAGCCACAGCACCAATTCCGGTTTTCTGGTGGTTTATTGGAGATAGTCTCACAGACTTTCCTGCCTGGGCTGGCTTTGAACCATGATCCTCACATCTCAGCCTCCTGAGTAGCTAGGATGACAGGTGTGAGCCACTGGTGCCCAGCTGTTTTTAATTTTTTTTAAAGACCCTGCATACAGTTTCCATGGCCCTGCACCCTTTAAAACAACCCAAGATTCACTGTCACTGAGTTCAGTGGCATGCTGTGTTTTTTATCATTGCAATGTAGTTATAAACAGGCTCACAGGCTGGGAAGGTAGCTCAGTGGTAGAGCGCTTGCCTTGCATGCCTGAGGCCCTGGGTTCGATTCCTCAGCACCACATAAGCAAAAAGAAAAAAGCCGGAAGTGGTGCTGTGGCTCAAGTGGCAGAGTGCTAGCCTTGAGCTGAAGAGCTGAGGGACAGCGCCCAGGCCCAGAGTTCAAGCCCCATGACTGGACCCAAAAAAAAAAGTCAAACAGGCTCACACCTGTACTCCTAGCTACTCAGGAGGCTGAGATCTGAGAATCATGCTTCAAAGCCAGCCCAGGCAGGACAGTCCATGAGACTTATTTCCAGTGAACCACCAGAAAACCGGAAGTGGCACTCTGGCTTAAGTGGTAGAGAGCTCACCTTGAGCTGAAGAGCTCAGACAGTGCCCAGACCCAGAGTTCAAGGCCCATGACTGACCAAAAAATAAAAATTAAAATAAATGTAGGAATTAGCAACTTATCAAGATTTTTTATCAAGATTTCTGAAGTGTTTTTTTTGGGGGGGGGGGGGGGTTGGTCGTGGGGCCTGAACTCTGGGCCTGGGCACTGTCCCTCAGCTCTTCAGCTCAAGGCTAGCGCTCTACCACTTGAGCCACAGCGCCACTTCCGGCTTTTTCTGCTTATGTTGTGCTGAGGAATCGAACCCAGGGCTTCATGTGTGCAAGACAAGCACTCTACCACTGAGCCACCTTCCCAGCCCCCTGAAGTTTTATTAAACTAAGAATATATCAACACAAGTGAAGGGTTGTGGTAAAATAATTTTAAAGATTGTGTATGTGTGCAGATGCACGAGTCCATGCCCGTGCCTCTTCTGAGGCTTGAACTCAGGGCCTGGATTCTGTCTCTGAGTCTTTTTTGCTCAGGGTTAACACTTTTTCCCTGAGTCTTTTTTGCTCAAGGTTAACACCCTACCATTTGAGCCACAGCTTTATTTTCAGCTTTTTATCTTTTTGGTGGTTAGAGATAAGAGTCTCATAGACTTTCCTGGCCAGGCCAGCTTTGAACCATGATCCTCTGATCTCAGCCTCCTCAGTAGCTGGGATGACAGGCATGAGCCACCAGTGCCAAGCAAGACTCACCTTTTAAGAATTCGGCACCTGCTAGTATTCTGAAGGAATTGTGTCCCCAAATAAACACCTTCCAGCAGGAATCCTATTGATGGTTGACAACCCAGGAATGTCTCTTTTTCATGTATATAATTTTTCTTTAAGTCATAAAGGGGATGTAAACTCAGGGATTTGCGTTGGTGGGCAGATGCGCTACCATGGATCCCAGCACTACTGGCCCTGATAAACACATTTGTTAGATCAACTCATTACCTGAGTTTGGCCTTCTTATACTAAGTTTTCATGTGGACAGTTTGGAGTAGTGACTCTCTCTGACGTAGTGTGAAGTTGGGGACCTTCCTGGCCAGTGAGCTGGTAAGTGCCCATGTGTAGGCAGTAATGACTTACGTAGGATGTAGCTTCCTGAGCTGATCTGAATTGTAGGACTAGATTTGTGTTCTGGGTCACAGTTCCTTCTTGTAAAATCAGTTTTGCTCCCCTTGTTTCTTTCTTTTTTTTTTGGGGGGGGGGGTTCCAGTCGTGAGGCCTGAACTCTGGCCTGGGCGCTGTCCCTCAGCTCTTCAGCTCAAGGCTAGCTCTCTACCACTGAGCCACCTTCCCAGCCCCTCCCCTTGTTTCTTTTATAGGACAGTGACTAACACTTTCCTTTTTATTTCTTGGTGCCTTGGCCTCTGGTAGAACACAAAGGTTTTTTGTTTGTTTCTTTTTTGTCAGTCCTGGTGCTTGAACTCAGGGCCCAGGCGCTGTGCCTGAGCTCTTTTTTTTAATCATTAATTTTAATTGCAAATTTGATTTTATAGCTATTTCTCCACTTTTTTTTTTTTTTGTCAGTTGTGGGCCTGAACTCTGGGCCTGGGCGCTGTCCCTCAGCTCTTCAGCTCAAGCCTAGCACTCTACCACTTGAGCCACAGCGCCACTTTCTCTTTTTTCTGCTTATATGGTGCTGAGGAATCAAACCCAGAGCCTCATGCATGCAGGCAAGCACTCTACCACTGAGCTACCTTCCCAGCCGTGCCTGAGCTCTTTTGCTCAAGGCTAGTGCTCTACCACTTTGAGCTACAGTTCCACTTCCAGTTTTTGAGAGGTTAATTGGAGGTAAGAGTCTCACAGGGACTTCCTGTTCAGTTGGCTTGAACCACCAATCCTCAGATCTCAGCTTCCGGGGTAGCTAGGATTACAGGCATGAGCCACCAGCACCTTGTGAACACAAAGGTTTTATACAAACAAAAGTAAGAGTGTGCAAGTGTGAAACTGACACAGCTTTTTTGTTGCTGATTTTTGTTTTATTTTTTTGACTTGTTGCTTCAAAATCAGACTATTGAAGTGTATTTGCTTTTAAATTGTGTTCAAATGGAAATGAAATGTGAATCAGAAAATACTACTTTCCTCTTATTTTTTTTTTTCTTTCAGAAATTTTACTGTGTTGAAAGAGATCCTTTCTTTCCATAGGCAGATTTGGCCAAATTTGGCTCCCCGTTCTGGAACATGGGCCTTTTGGCTGTACTTTGAAAGGTTCTTTCATAAGGAAATCTAAACACTGACTCTTGTGAATAGAGAATTATTCAGAAATGACTCGATGGACCCCACAGAGTATCTTAGGTGGTTTGTCTGCCTTTCCCTAGATTAAACCCGAACATAAAATGCAAATGATTTTAGAGTATTTGAAATTATAAAATATTATTATAAAAAGTATAAAACATGAAAGAGCAGCTGTTGTTTGGGAACAAAGTATGTTTTCTTCTCTGGGGTAACTGGGTAAGGCGCCCCAGCTTGCCGCGTATGGACAAAACCTCTACCAGTGTCAGCATTGGTAAAGAACTGGTGTTTGGGTAAGTGACTGTTTCCTAACCTGTTATTCCAACAAAGCTGGAGAGCATTCCTTGCCAACAGTGAAGTACGTAAATTACCAGCTTAAAAAATATCCAAGCTATGCTTTGAAAATGTGCAGTTGAGTGTTTATTTCAGGATAGGACCCACTTAGGCTTTTCATGTGTTTATTTCTGAATATACTGTTTATTTCTGAATATACGGTTAGCACATTAAAGAGTACCGTGGCTCACGCCTGTAATCCTAGCTACTCAGTAGGCTGAGATCTTAGGATCGCAGTTCAAAGCTAGCCCAGACCCTAAGTTCAAACTCCAAAATTGACATTAAAAAAAAAAAAAAGAGGCCGAGCGCTGGTGGCTCACGCCTGTAATCCTAGCTACTCAGGAGGCTGAGATCTGAGGATCGTGGTTCAAAGCCAGCCCGGGCAGGAGAGACCGTGAGACTCCTATCTCCAATAAACTACCAGAAAACCGGAAGTGGCGCTGTAGCTCAAGTGGTAGAGCGCTCGCCTTGAGCTGAAGAGCTGAAGGACAGCGCCCAGGCCCAGAGTTCAAGCCCCACGGCCGACCAAAAAAAAAAAAAAGAGTGGGCTTCCAAATATTGGGGATGTATTCTAATCATGTGAGATTCTCGATGTAAAAGGATTATTCATTTGAAACATATTAACATGTTTTGAAAAATCATTTCAAAGATGACAACAACAACAAAACCCAACTCTACAAGAGTAGCCACTTGATGTAAACTTCCTGTCTGGACCATTCCCAAGTTAGTAAGAAGCACTCTAGAAGAAGGAGCTACCTTAGGACCACTAGGGGGTCCAAGTGTAGTACATTTTTAGTAAGCTGTATTTTGACAAGTAGAGATTGTTATCCTAATTTTATAGACGAGGAAATCAGAGGTTAAGCAGTTTTCCCTGAATACCACAGCTACTGAGTGCTGTCATTGGAATCTACACTAGCATTTTTGTGTCTGTGTAACCTTTAAGTCTAATTATTCTCCCAGTGTCCCTTTAGGAGAACATTGTAAAGATGAATAAAATGATCGGTATTGCAGGGACGGACAGTATGAGGGCCTTGTGGTTGCTAGACAGGTGATCCACTGCTCCAATCACATCCCTAGCCCCAAGACTATAATTAGCACCTGGTTTGTAGTTTCAAAGTATTTTTAATATAATGCTGAGGGTTTTCTGTGTGTTCAAAATTTTTTAATTTTCAAAGCTTCATTTAAAGGACAAGAAGCGATTTGAAAAAGCGAATCAGGATTCGAGCCCTGGTTTGAGCCTTGAAGAATTCATTGCTTTTGAACATCCTGAAGAAGTTGATTATATGACGGTAAGGAATAAAAGAACTTGAGAATTACTGACTAGTAAGTCACTAAAAATGAATTGCACTGCCAGTCACGCCGTCATCCCAGCCACTCAGGAGGCTGAGATCTGAGGATCGCGGTTCAAAGCCAGCCCGGGCAGGAGAGACCGTGAGACTCCTATCTCCAATAAACCACCAGAAAACCGGAAGTGGCGCTGTAGCTCAAATGGTAGAGTGCTAGCCTTGAGCAGAATAGCTCAGGGACAGCACCCAGACCCCAAGTTCAAGCCCCAGGATTGGCACCAAAGGGAAACAAAAGTCATGGTCAGAATAATAAGCTGCCTTGAATAAGAAGGCAACAGGTCCATTTTTCTCCCTAGCTCAGTGGTGGGAGATGCTTATTAACACTACTTGTTACTGTTGAGCTTCTGTCCGCTGTCTTGGCACAGGATTCATGACCTAATTTAAGAGCAGTGCTGGGCACAGTTTAGGTGCCAGAAAGTTAATTTGGGTCAAGCTAATAGGGTTCTAGAACAGCCGGCAATGGATACTGGGCCTTGACTTGTTGGAGAGTAAGAGCAGTTGCCAGGAGCACAGGGAGACCAATAGACTGCAAGTCACAAGACATGAAGGGCCTCTACATGCACATAGCCCTGCTAGGAGAGCTGTGCTCTGATCAGCACTTTGACGAAAACATGAGCAGGAATGTTGATTCCTAATTACGTATTTTTTTTTTTTTTTTGGGGGGGGGGGGTCTGGTTATGGGGCCTGACAGCTCTTCAGCTCAAGGCTAGGGCTCTACCACTTGAGCCACAGCACTACTTCCGGCTTTTTTCTTTTTGCTTATGTGGTGCTTGAGGAATTGAACCCAGGGCCTCAGGCATGCAAGAGAAGCGCTCTACCACTGAGCCACCTTCCCAGCCCCCTAATTACGTATTAAGAAACAGAAATGGGCTGGGTGCTAGTGGCTCACACCTGTTATCCTATCTTTTCAGGAGGCTGAGATCTGAGGATCACAGTTCAAAGCCAGCCTGTGCAGAAAAGTCTGTTAGACTCTCCAATAAACTACTGAGAAAAAGCCAGAAGTGGCACTGTGGCTCAAGTGGTAGAGCTCTAGCCTTGGACACAAAGAGGCTCAGACATAATGCCCAGGCCCTGAGTTCAAGCCCCAGGACCAGCAAAAAAACATGACCCTAGAGGATTCTTTTTTTGTGGGGGGTGGGTGGGTTTTGTTATTGTTTGTGTTTTGGTACTGGGCTTTGAAACTGGGACCATACATTTACTAGGCAGGTACTCTACCACCAGCCTTTTTTTTTGCTTCCTTTTTCAGATAGGGTCTTAAAGATTTGCCTGGACCAGCCAGCCTTAGACCATGATCCTCTTACCTATGCCTCCATGTATCTGGGCTATCAACCCATCAAATGTGTACCACAACACCCAGATATTTGAGATGGGGGTCTCATTAAGTTTTTGCCAGGACTGACCTTGGATGGCCATCCTTCTGATCTCTGCCTCCTAAGTAGCTGGGATTCCATGGATGAGCCACTGGACTCAGTTCCAAAAATCCAACCATGGCAGCCTTATGGAAATGAGTCTACTTTTCCCCAAGAGTATTACTTGAATGAAAAGAATCATTTTAACCAGTGGTTCTTACATATTACTGGATCATAAACTCCCTTAGAAGTATGGTAAAACTGGATTCTGACTCAGAACAATTATACATATTAACACCCCGTATATTGGATCATAATTTTAAGGACAGTCCCTTGATCATTCCTCTAAAACTAATTTTTGGGCCCTTAGATTAAGACTCCTCCTATGTACAAACTGTAAATTTTGATTTAAGCAAAGACAAGAAATTGTATGTGTTATCGATGAAGCTCCCATATCTGTCTAGAATGGGAGACAGACATTACATTTGGGGTTGAGGTCACGGATGTACTCAGGACCAGCTGAGAAGGAAGGAAGAGCAAGATGGTGATGAATGACTTGACTATCGTCCAAGAAGGAGCTGTGGCCTAGGGAGGTGGAGGCTGGAGAGAGGCAGGATTTGCTGAAGGTGACAGAAGGCGTGGAAGTAGGGCGTCTAGACGGGGGCTTTAACAGGGAGGTGCAGTGCTGGCCAACACGAACCTTTCAGAAGACTTCCATCATGGGAAGAAAGGGGAGAGTTTTTATCAAGAATCTACAGGAGGCCCTGTTCCAATACGTGTCAGAAGAGAACAGGTGGAAGTTGGGAAACATGGCTTTGTGGCCGCCTCCATTGCAGTGGCGGACATCAGATACTGGGAGAGATTTACGTTTCTGCAGCCTCTAGGCTTAATGGTGTAGGAGAGAGGCGGGAGTGGAAAGGGTCTGATGTGCAGGCTGGGAGGTGATGGGAGGTGCCAAGTAGCTGATCTCCCAACAGGTAATGCCCTCGGAGGCCCCGCCCTTTGGGTCTGGGAAGATTAGTTGTTGGGTAGGAGGAAGGCGTAGGTTGAGGTGCTGGCATTTCAGCTTGGAGGAAGAACCCGGCTCTGGGTAGAGGTGTCAGATAGTATTCTTTAGAGCTGCTGCTAGATTGGAGAAAGCTAGAGCAGAAGAGGTGGCCTTTTTGAGAGGGAGGGGAACATGCAGAAAAGAGGGGCCTGGGGCCTGCCTTGGGTGTTTAAGCATTCAAGAGACGGAACTGAGTTCTTCCAAGCATCAGGATCAGGAGTACAACTGGAAACTCTTGTTCCCCAGCTACCAGAATTGTCCTTCAAGTCTGGACAATCACAGTGATTACCCTGAAGAAACTCTATAATATGATACATTCTGTGGTGGGCTTGACTTTGTGTAGGGGGGTTGGAGGGAGTGCTGGTCTTGGGTTTTGAACTCAGGTTCTGTCCCTGAGCTGCTTTTGCTCAAGTCTAGTGCTCTGCCATTTGAGCTACAGCTCCATTTTCAGTTTGGGTAGGTTTCATAACTTTTCTGCTTGGGCTGGCTTCAAACCACAATCCTCAGATCTCAGCCTCCCGAATCGTTAGGATAATAGGCAGGTGGGTACCACTGATGATTTTATGACTAAGCCGTGCTTCTCTCTTAATGTATGTGCAACAGGAGTTCGTCATTCAGGAGGCTTTAGAAGAACATGACAAAAACGGTGATGGCTTTGTTAGTTTAGAAGAATTTCTTGGTGATTACAGACGGGATCCAAGTAAGTTTCCTGGAGTGAGGGAAATGGGAACTAAAGAAACCACAACAGACAGCCCTTATTCATGGAGCTTGACAGGAAAGTAGCTGAGCAGCCCAGCCTGGCTTCCGCTTCCAGGCTAAGTCAGCACAGGACGGGCTCAACCCCAGGACTGACAGCCTTTCTGAGATGCTGCCTTGCTCATTCTCATTTTCACCTTGAGTTTCAAACATTTGTCCTCCTAACCAGTGTAATGCCACTGTCGATTCAAAAGGGGAAGGAAACTTGAGCTCTGGTGACTCAACGCCTGTAATTCGAGCTACTCCAGAGGCTGAGATCTGAGAATCATGGTTCAGAGCCAGCTGGGGCAGGAAGGTTTGTGAGACTCTGATCTCCAGTGAAACGCAAAAAAAAAAAAAAGCAAAACCAGAAGTGGAGGGCTGGGAATGTGGCTCAGTGCTTGCATAGCATGCATGAAGCCATGGGTTCAATTTCTTAGTAGAAAAACCTGGAAGTGGTGCTGTGGCTCAAGAGGTAGAGGGCTAGCCTTGAGCCAAAGAAGCTCAGGGACAGTGCCCAGACTCAGTTCAAGCCCCAGGACCAGCAAAAACAAAAACCTGAAGTGAAGCTATGGTTTAAGTGGTAGAACATCAGCCAGGCCCTGAGTTCAAGCCTCAGGATTGTATCAAAATATTTATCAAAAATGCAGTTTTTAAATGGATCACCTTATTGTGAATTTTACTGTAAAACTTTTCATGTAAATATTATGTTTCAAAAAGTATATATGGCCGGGCGCCGGTGGCTCACGCCTGTAATCCTAGCTACTCAGGAGGCTGAGATCTGAGGATCACAGTTCAAAGCCAACCTGGGCAGGAAAGGCCATGAGACTCTTATCTCCATGTATCCCCCAGATAACTGGCAGTGGTGCTCGGGCTCAACTGGTCGAGTGTTTGCTTTGAGCACAAGAGTTGAGGGACAGCACTCAGGTCTAGAGTTCAAATCCCATGACCGACAGAAAAACAAGCTATATATGGTCACATGTGAAGCAAAATATTGTCAGCTTAAACTTGGGCCTAGCCAGTACCAGATGAGTAGTGGTTAACGGAAGTGCTAGTGTGTAATACTGTGCAGCAAATTTTAAACTGGGTGGTTCTGATTCCTGTGTCTCTATTTTGGCTGATCCTGGGTTTGAACTCTGGGCCTCTGCACTGTCCCTGAGCTTCTTTTTGTTCAAGATGAACATTCTACCACTTGAGCAACTTCTGGTTCCTTTGAGTGGTTTATTGGAGATAAATCTCATGGAGTGTCCTGCCTGGGCTGGCTTCAAACCATGATCCTCAGATCTTAGCCCCCTGAGTAGCTAGAATGATAGGCATGAGCCACCGGCACCTCGATGTCTCTTTTGGAAAATAAATTGCATATATTTCAGAACTTTTCAGTTAAGTAGCTGTGTTTCAGTGTTCTTCTTTTATGTAGTAATCTTTGCATTCCTTTCCTTTATTCTACCTATTGCATACATGTAATATTCTGTATGTCATCTATATTTTTGTGTGTCTGTTTTATTAAGCTGCAAACGAAGATCCTGAGTGGATACTTGTTGAGAAAGACAGATTTGTGAATGACTACGACAAAGACAGTGACGGCAGGCTTGATCCCCAGGAGCTGCTGTCCTGGGTGGTACCCAATAATCAGGGCATTGCCCAAGAGGAGGTAAGTATTACAGAATGACCGTTTCCTCCCTGGTGTGTGCACATGCACGTGCATGTGTGTGTTCCCACACAGTGCCATCAATAGGGAGTTCAGTGTCTTTAGCCAAAGAAATAATGCAGTCATTGAGGACAGTTCTGAATTAAATCAATGTACTGTTGTATATGGTTAGGGAGACAAAGCTAAGATTCTGGAGCTAGGTGTTGGTAACTCAAGCCTGTCTGAGGATCACAGCTCCAAGCCAGCCTACGTAGACCAGTGCACAAGACTCTAATCTCCAAATAACCACCAAAAGAGCCAGGAGTAGCGCTGTGGCTCAAGTGTTAGTGCTATCCTTGAGCAAAAGCAGCTCTGGAACAGTGCCCAGGCCCTCAGTTCCAACATCCAGGACCAGCAGAAATTTGAAAAAAGATTATGCGTGGGCACAGTGGATAAAATGATAGTTTATATTTGCCTATGGGGCTCAAAGCGGATTGTAATGTAATTTTGCTTAATGTTAATTTCCTGAATTGGCTTTGTATGCAGACAAATTAAGAGAGGGGGGCTGGGAAGGTGGCTTAGTGGTAGAGTGCTTGCCTTGGGTTTGGTTCCTCAGTACCACATACACAGAAAAGGCCAGAAGTGGTGCTGTGGCTCACGTGGTAGAGTGCTACCCCAAGACTGGCAAAAAAAAAAAAAAAAAAAAAGAAAAGAAATTTAAGAGGAGAGATAAAGCAGTGGTGCACAAACTCATTTACAGAGTGGGTTATCGCGAGATATGAGTAAGTTGTTGGCACAGCCAAACCATTGTGGCAGAATCACATTTCATTTGCTTCACGGCTCCTTGCTCACCTTTCCACTTGGGTCTGTTCAAGGCCGTTCATCTGATTGGTGAGATGGATTTGAACGGGGACAAGAAGCTGTCTGCAGAGGAGGTTCTGGAGAGCCAGGACTTGTTTCTCACCAGCGAGGCCACAGATTACGGGCGGCAGCTGCACGATGACTACTTCTACCACGATGAGCTCTGAGCACCACTGCAGCCTGGACCGCATCCGTTCAGAACTTCTGACCAGCTTTACTTTTGTGATAAAATATTGACAGATTTTACACTCTTCAGTCTAACTACAGCCAAAAGGATCTCCATGTAGGTTGTCATTTTGGCTTCTAGAAGAAAAAAAAAAACAACAAAAACCTGATATTTGTTTCAAGATGTATTTGAAGAAGTTAAACATTAATATTGTGCCATGTGGCCATACATTCTTTCCTAAACACGCCATCTGTTTAGTTCAGCCTTGTGGAATATTTCAATTCTTTCTCTGTACTTGAAAAAAAAATGGAGGATTTTAGACCTGCTTAAACAATATTATTATTTAAGTAGTTTGTGACAGCTCTGCAGGTTCCTTTGGTACTAAGTAGATCTAATTGGGAAACTGACAGGAAGACCAGTGTGTTTAGATTTAGGGGTTTTTTTTGTTTTGTTTTTAAGGAATTTTCAAAAAATGTAAACCTCACGTTCATGTTGCATTTGACTTAATTTTAAAATGGTTTCTCTAAAGGGTTCTGTCGTATGAAATAGAACTTTATATTTTTGCATATGTATAGATAGTAATTATATTTAATGTATAACTATAGCATTATGGTGAGTGGCATTTGACATGTCCCAGCCCTTTTTGGTTTTGACCGATTAAAGATGAACTTCCTTTTGTAGGTTTGTTGGCGCATCTTTAATTTTCCAGTCAGCCTCAGGTTCAGCACAGGCTTTTCTGTGTCTGTATTATTTGCTTGTCTGTTCCTTTATTGGCATAGTTAGTTAAATTATTCAAGAATATTCAGTTATTCTTGGGACTTTTTTTTTTTGTCCGCTCCTTGTCTGACACTTACTTTCATTCATTGGCTGCTATTCTACAACCTGAACCACACCTTTGCTTTTTTTTGCTTTTTTTTTTTTTTTAATGGTGCCAGTCCTGAGACTTCAATTCAGGACCTGAGCACTGTCCCTTAGCTTTTTTTACCTAAGGTTAGCACTTTGCCACTTGAGCCACAACTCTACTTCTAGCTTTGGCTGGTTAATTGGGAATCAGAGTCTTGTGGACTTTCCTGCCTGGTTGGCTTTAACCCCAGATCCTCAGATCTCAGCCTCCTGAGTAGGTACCGTTACAAGCATGAGCCACTGGTGCCAAGCTACTTATTTTTTAAGGAATAGTGTGGTGTCTGTGATTTTCTTCAGTGCACAACGATGCTTATTCCTGAACCCTGGCACTTCACACTTCCTGGTTTTGGTGGTCACAATTCTGTGAGGTAGATGCTCACCATGGCTTCTATTTGCATTTCTCTATTTTTGCCTTTTCCAAAATACCATTGTTTAGCAATTTAGACTTGTTTCTCTAGGGGTTTTGTGGGACACTATACCTCTTTTTTTTTTGGTTGGTTGTGGACCTGAACTCGGCCTGGGAGCTGTCCCTGAGCTCTTTTGTTCAAGGCTAGGGTTGAGCCACAGCACTACTATCAGTTTTCTGGGGGTTCATGGGAGATAAAAGACTTTACAGCCCAGGCTGGCTTCAAACCACTTTCCTCAGATCTCAGCCTCTCAAATAGCTAGGATGATAGGCATGAGCCACCACCACCTGGCTACCTCCTTTTAAAAAAGTGAGGAGCTCTATTCAAGCTCAGAGAATGTTTCCCACCTAGTTTAGAAAAGCCACTGAGAAGGTTTTATACAGTGCCACAACTCATCTGCTTCTTGTTAACATCAAGTTCCTGACTCCGAGTTATAAACCCATGTGTGTTATAAACCTGGACGCTGTCCCTGAGCTTTTTTTTTCCCCCTCCAGGTTAACACTCTCACTTGAGTGTGACCACTCTACTGCCAGTGTTTTACTAGTAATTCACAGTGGTGAATCACTGATGGCCTGACTCCATTTCTCTCCACTGTTCCCCACAGGGCTGCAATCAACCATTTCACTGTCTTTACCGTGGCTACAAGGTCTTAAAGGGCCCTCTCTTCCTATTTCCTGTGACTCCTTTCTGCTCTCCCGGGCATCATTGCATTATACAGATCCTCAGACACAGCAGTCCTGTGCCTGCCTCAGGACCTACTGGTGCTCTCTCCAGAGATCCTTTTCCCAGCCAGAGGGCAACTCGTTTACATACCTCTGGTAAAGATCAGCGGCTCAGCCCAGCCATCCTCACCCCACCCCTACCTACTACAGAAAATCCACACGCACCGTTTCCTGGGATCTGAAGATAGGTTTATTTTTTCCTATGTTGTCATCTTCAAACATATTACATAATTTACTTAGACTATCTGCTTTATTTGTCCATTTCCCTTCACTAGAAGGTAAGAGGGAAGCCGAGGGCAGTAGCTAATCCCTGTAATCCTAGTTATTCAGGTGGTTGAGATCTGAGGATTGTGGGGTCCAAGCCAGCCAGGGCAGTAAATTCATTAAGATTTCTATCTCCAATTAACCAGTAAAAAAGCTGAAAGTGGAGCTGTGGCCCAAGTGGTAGAGCACCTGCATTGAATGAAAAAGCTAAAGGACAGGCCGAGGGCCAGTGCCTAATACCTGTAATCTTGGCTACTCGGGAGGCTGAGATCTGAGATCAAGGCTCAAGGCTAGCCTGGGCAGGAAAGTTCATGAGACTCTTCTCTCCACAAAACCGGAAGTGGCACTGTGGCTCCAGTGGTAGAGTACTTGCCTTGAGCTGAAGAGCTGAGGGACAGCGCCCAGGCCCTGAGTACAAGCCCCATGACCAACCCTCCCCTCCCCCCAAAAAAAGGGAGAAACAATAATAGAACGCAAAGCTCCAAGAGACCAAGACTTTTGTTTTACTCATTACTATAAGCACTTCCGGCTTTTTCTGAGTAGTTTATTGGGAGTCTCATACTTTCCTGCCCAGGCTGATGTTGAACCCTGAGCCTCAGCCTCCTGAGTAGCTAGGATTACAGGTGTGAGCCACCAGCATCCGGCCCCATGAAGCCCTTATTACCAATTAACCACTCAGAAAAAAACCCTGAAGTGGCACTGTGGCTCAAGTGTTAGAGGGCTAGCCTTGAGCAAACAAAGCTCAGAGAGCATTCAGGCCCTGAATTCAAACCCCTGGACTGGGAGAAAAAAAAAAAGATCAGGAGCAAAGAGTTCTGTTTTCTTACATAATTTTCAAGCACCAAGAACCATGGCTGAAATAGAATATCCAAAATATATGTGGAATTCTTGTGAATGGATAAATGGATGGATGGATGGATGGATGGATGGATGGATGGATGGATGGATGGATGGGTGGGTGGGTGAATGGGTGGGTGGGTGGTTGGATGGGTGGGTGGATGGATGGGTGGGTGGGTGGATGGATGGATGGATGGATGGATGGATGGATGGATGGATGAAAGAGTGGGCTCCCAGCACTCTGCACATCCCTACCACAGCACTCGGTCTCAATCTTCTGCCTCCACCACGGTCTGTGTGTCTGACCTTGGACTGGCCGCTGAGCTCCTCTTGGTCTGTCTGAGCACTGTTAAATGGCTTATGAGTTGCTGCTAATGGGACCACTGTATGGTTGGGGAGCACTGTTTGGTGCTCAGTCCTTGGAGCCATTCGCTGTTATTACTAGACGATCTGCCAAGGTGGACGGGGTGAGGTTCTGGGGACTGAATGAGAATGAACACGTTGCATAGGCTCCCGGGCTCCCAGCAATCGAAGGCTGGAGGCCGGTGGGCAGGAGGAATGCCAGATTGGCATCTGGCCTGGTAGGCTGGAGGGGAAGCTGAAGAGAGGGGCTCAGGCCCTGGAGGGGGGGAGGGCCTCCCTGGCATCCCTCCCCCTTCTCCCCCACCCAGGACTTTGGAATTCACCCTGTGGGTTAAGTGGTGCAATCTGGTTGTGTGTGTGTGTGTGTGTGTGTGTGTGTGTACCAGTCCTGGAGCTTGAACTCAGGACCTGGACTTTATCCCTGCTCAAGGCTAGCACTCGACTACTTGAGCCACAGCTCTACTTCTGGCTTTTTGCTGGTTAAGAGTCTTAGGGGCTTTCCTGCTCAAGTTGGCTTCAAACCTCAATCCTCAGATCTCAGTCTCCTGAGTAGCAAGGATTACAGGCCACCAGCACCCAGCTGGCAATCTACTTAAAATGCACTATCAAATAGTAAAAATATGATTCATCTGAATTATGTTGATTCTTATCCATTTCAAAAGACTTTAATTTTTATTAAGTCTTGTTGGGCTTATTGCCCAATAGAGAAGCAGACTGTTTTTCTCATCGCAAGAAAAAACTCACTTTCCTTGCTTTGTACTAAAAGAAATGAAGCTTAAATGTGGCCAATACATACACATGGGAGGGAAATTTCTAGAACCTGCTGACATCTGAGCCTTGGTTCTCTGTTCTTGTCAAATCTCATGCTGTCCCAGATTCTCTTAAAGATTAGCATAGGAAATAAACAGTTCTCATTAAACTCCATGTGAGTTCTGATAGAAGCCGTGAAGGTTTGAAAACCCTTGGCTTTAACAAATCACATTACGGCAACTTCTTGAGCAACAGAAAGGCAAATGTTTTTTCTCTTTTTCTTTTTTTGTTGGTTGGTCATGGGGCTTGAACTCTGGGTCTGGGTGCTGTCCCTCAGCTCTTCAGCTCAAGGTGAGCGCTCTACCACTTGAGCCACAGCGCCACTTTCGGCTTTTTCTATGTATGTGGTACTGAGGAATTGAACCCATGCATGCTAGGCAAGCGCTCTACCACTGAGCCACCTTCCCATCCTATTATTATTATTGCTTATATGCACAACTTGACAGCTCCCACCCTTTCAATAGGATTGCTTTCCCTCTGGATGGAGTTTTCACAGTGGATTGCCAGGTTTTGATGCTCAAGGGGCGGTAGATGTCTTAAAATCAACAAGAAACTCCCCCTACCCAGCCCATACCCCTATTCTAACACTTCTTTGTCCTAACAATAGCTCAGCCTGGACCTCAGATTCCCTGCCCGTTTCTCTTACTATCCTACACCAGGGTTGCTAAATCAGGTGTTGGTTTTAGGTGTATTTGTTTGTATTTCTTTTTTGTGCCTGTCATGGGGCTTGAATTCAGGGCCTTAGTTGTTTTTTTGTTTTGTTTTGTTTTTTGTCGGTTGTGGGGCTTGAACTCTGGGCCTGGGTACTGTCCCTGAGCTCTTCAGCTCAAGGTGAGTGCTCTACCAGTTGATCCACAGTACCACTTCTGGTTTTCTAGTGGTTTATTGGAGATAAGAGTTTCACTGACTTTCCTGCCCAGGCTGGCTTTGAACCGAGATCCTCAGATCTCAGCCTCCTGAGTAGCTAGGATTACAGGTGTGAGCCACCAGCGCCTGGCTTTTTTTTTTTTTAACTCAAGGTTGGTACTCTACCACTGAGCCACAGCTCCATTGACAGCTTTTTGGTGGTTTATTGGAGATAGGAGTCTCATGGACTTCCTGCCCCAGACTGGTTTTGAACCAAGATCCTGAGATTTCAGCCTCCTTGTCTAGTAGGATTACAAGTGTGAGCCACCAGTGTCCAGCTCCAGTGGGTTTACTATAATTTTAAAGTTGTCCCCATCCTTGAAAAGAGCATACCAAGGGAGACATACTTGTTAGAATATACAGGGCTGGGCATGTAGTCAGTGGTAGGATAATTAGCCTAGCATGTGAGAAGCTCTCAGTTTGAACCCAGCCACTGAAATAATAGCAATAATAATAGGCTGGGAAGGT